CCCCAAAACCCCAAAACCCCAAAACCCCTATTTCAACTGAGATTATTGAACTTAAGGAAATATTCTAGTAATGAATTTGGTAACTGATTGGTGGTAACCCACCCTTTTTCTTCTTCCGAAGAACAAACTTTTGGGGACATTTCCCACCAAATTTTTTGAATTTCTTCCGACTATGCTTTGATGTGCTTATCTAGAGGGTTAGAATTGAGTGTACATTGTCAGCGGTCAAGTTATGATCCCTTGTTTTTGGATTTTTAGAAAATATGCTGTTTGTTTTCAGTCGAGGGAATAATTGAAATTTCTCTCCTATAAAATTACATATGAGCAAAAATCTTTCAAGCAAGTTTTGTCCAGCAATTCTTCAAATTTATCGAAAGGACAGATAAAAACAAAATATTTCAAATGTTCATAAATCTCCAAATAAGCTTGCATTCATGAAGTTTTGAGATGTTTAGCTATATCGACAATTTACTTACTCTCTTTTGGGTCAACAACAGCTTTGGTTCTTCTAAAAAGCCGTTTTCTGATTACACTCTTGCTCGATCGAGCATTTGGCCGCCGACTAATCCTAATGTTCCTGGAGTCTTGTACCGAATCTTGATATGAGTCTTCAGAGGCACCTCTTGAACTGACTTTTCTCAGGACTGATCGGTTTCTGATCTTTCTGGTGTCTGTATATAATTAGCATAAACTTTTGCATAAAAATTAGTCCTTCAATAGTATTAGAATTTTACGAAGTTTAACAAAATATTATTTTTGTATCAAAGTCTAAGCTAATTCCTTACTTTCAATAGTATTCATGTCTGATAAAGAAATGTTTGAACCCTGGTCAATATTACTCTTCTGGTTCCGTGTCCGTTTCCAGTGAAAATCATTGATCTTATTTACCCCACTTTCGATCTCTTTCGGACCGGCTTTGATATACTTCTTTAGATGGGTTCTGTTTTGACCGGATCTTCTATAGATAAATCAAAATTTTACTCTCTATTTCTTTTGAGTATATGCTTTAGTTCGACCAGCTTGTCATCAAGAAGAGTGCCATACTTCTTGATTTCAGAGAAATCTTCATCATATTTATCCCGTCTGAATAATTTAGCCTTATTTCTCCTGGTAAGAGTCAAATGTTGTTCTTTGGTCAACTCTAAAGATTTTCTCCCTAAAATATTATCGATATATTTACCTTAGTGGTGATGGCCTCTCCTGACCTTCTTCTGTGCCATAGATCCCCCTTAACTGGGAGCTAATATCTGAAGAATTAGGAGGAAGGAATATACCAGCAATTGATTTGTTGTAACTATCTGACCCATCAATGTCTTGCAACTTCACCTCCCTCTCAAAATCCCTAATGAACCTATTTTTGTTCTTCAGGGTGATTCTCATTGAAGTCGTTCTGGGAGTCGACTATTTCTGCTGAATGATTTTGGTCCTAAAATCATGTCATTTAAAGTAAAATAAATATTCATAAAGCGCTTTTATTTTTGCAAGGGCATGAATTAGTTAATTCATTCCTCCAAAGTCAGTTGGAATAAATCTAGGCAGAATAACGAAACTTCATAGTGAATTAAGTGCATGATGGGGAAAATCAGCATTTTAGGAAAGCAGTTCAACTCAGAAATATTAAAAATTAATAATTTTTACTTTATCAGTGCCAAGAACAAGCGGAAAATTTCAAAATTTAACAAGATTTACCATTTTATCCTCTTCTCTTGGCTCAGACATATTTCTGTTCTTCTCTATCATAGGATAATTATTTGAAAATATTGAGGAAATTTGTCTGAAAACTGAAGTTGAAATACTAGAAAATTTACGCAGAAAAGTAAGAGAAAGTCTTCTGATAAATTATACAGCCAATGGTGAGATGTTTCCACAATGGCTTACTCTTGCCTAATCCAATAAATCTCTTAATGGCCTTGAACATCTTTTGAAAATGATAATATTTATATATGTTTTAGGGGTTTTGGGGTTTTGGGGTTTTGGGGTTTTGGGG